CCCAGACGCGGCCGCACTGGCCCGCGGCGACCATCCGCCGGTTTCGGCCGAGGCGCCTTCGGCGAGTGTCGGGCATCTTCTGGGTGTCGAAGACGACGTAGAGCATCACGTAGGAGCTCTATGATGTCGATCCGCCCGGCGGAACGCAGCGACGGTGATCGGTCGACGCGAAACGCTGCGTTTGGCCCCGAAACGAATCGTTTGGGAGCAGCTGGTCCAAAACTAGCTCTGGCACGCCGATATCGCAGCACACACCAACTTCAAAGCCTTGGAGGGCACGAACCATATGCCCACCGCCTTCGACTACATCCAGATCATCGCCTGCGGCCAGAACCACACCGCGGTGCGCGTTTTCGGGAATCCGTCGCGCAGGCGCCGCGCATCGACCGCGTGTCGGCGAATGCGAAAGCGGGCACCCAAAAGTGGTTCGCGACAGCGTGGCCAATGTATCAACCGACGCGAAAACGGCTGAGGTGTCGATTTCTACCGGTGCGCGCGTGCTGGAGCCCAGGACCGAGCCCTCCCGGCCTCGGGCGACGATCTCGCTCCCAGCCGCGCGCGCCCGCACGACGCGCTCGCGCGATGAAACTTTGCAGAGCGTCGCACCCAAGGTAGTACTCGACTCTCACCAAGTTTGGGCCGGTCGGAGCGCCATCACGTCGACATCTCGCGCTGCCAGCGCCGGCGGCGCCTGTGGAGAAATTCGATTGGTCCAGGCCGGCGACCGTGGCAAGGCGGCAAGTCAAACAAACGCGACGCCCTGCCAGCGAGTTGGTGCTCCGCGATGAAGTCTTGCTGGTGCTACCTCCTCGCGCTCGTCGCCGCGGCCAACGCCTTCACGGCGAGCCGGTCGGCGCTGCCCGCGCGCGCGTGCCGCGCCGCGGCGCCGGCGCTGTCCATGCGCTACGGCAAGAAGCAGGTGAAGATCCGGCAGAAGATCAACCGCATGATCCTCGACGCCAACACCATCGAGGACGTCGCGGCCGTGCTCCAGCACCCCTTCCTCGCGGCGTCGTCGCGGCGCATGATGAAACACCTCGTGCTCAAGGCGCGGCGCAAGGCCATGCTCATGGGCTACCAGATCGGGTACCTCGACGACGACGAGGAGGACCTGCTCGACGAGATGGTCGAGTTCGACGTCG